TTCTGCAATAAAATGTCTCGAACTGCTCAACCGACCATGTGATAATTTTCAGAAAACATTTAGCGATCGATTATTTCGTCTTTATTCAACTTAAATTGTACAAATATTCATCCAAAACCTTCACACCAGTTAGTTCTTCCCCCAAAAAGGTGGTTGAACGGGATCGGAAACAGTAGGCAGGCGTAAAATGCGAAAAACATGGTTTTTCCCTATCTCGCTCTATGATTTTTGACCGGTTGAGCCGCCATTTTGAATGCTCATGTTGGCGCGTCGCGTGCGTAATAGAATACATTACAGTCAGCAATCTAGTTCTCCTATATCTATGGTACAAATAATAGAAAGGGATGAAACCAGACACCCCCGACCGTGAAATTTTCGAATGGATATAACTGGCGTGTTTTTGAACCAAAACCTTTTTTTTCGTGTGCCGGTTTAGATATCATACACTTAGGATACCTGTACAAGGACATTGTAAGAAACGGCTATAAACCGAAATTTTTGGGACTATAATTTTGGCTTATTTTGTTTCAACGTGCACCGCAAAACATGGTGACGGAAGTGACGTACTTACGCACTTACAAAGATATTGCGCATGACGAAAACTATTTTTCCAACTAATTCATAAATATTACAGGCTCAGACAGTGTTTTTATGATTATACAGTTTCACTATGAAATAAGAATAAGCTTATATAAATAAAACAATATATGATTGGTACGATTCATGGAAAATTTTATCGTGTAGAGAAAAATCATAATGTAATTCATATCACTGTGTTATCCCACTTTGTGTATCAACAATGACGTCACAACTTAGTTGACCTAACGAAACCTTTGTTACAGTTATGGAAATATCACTAGTTTGCAAGTGGAATTTATAGCAGATTTGTATGAAAACCAGATCTCATTATTTTATTCAATACTAGAATCTAATATCATTAAATTAAACATCTATTTTTAATTGAAAACCTTCTTCTACTGTACAGTATATAATATACACTATATAATGACTGTATACTCGTGGTAATTTTAAATTTTTTTATTTTGTGCAAATGTAATATTGTTTGATTGCATGAAGTTTTTATTTCCTGACTGCTTAATTATCTGTTACGATCATAATCATATTGTGATAAGATTTAGTTAAAGTCAAACATAATACACAGCCTTTTAGATGTGTATTATGTTTGACTTCAAAATCTTATTTGCTATTATATTTATAATAAGTGATGAATTTTTCAATTGTTCCATGCCATCTTCATTATTCAGTTCCTGTCAAGAAAATACAAAATGTGAATCTAAGTTTTTTGCAGATACATGTACGCGTGCGTACCTATTTTTAACATTTGTTTCGCGAGTAGTCGTGTCAGTTTATTGATAGTTCACCAAAATTTCATCGACGATGTTTAGGTCCGCTACAATATCGAGTGGGAGTACCAAGCTTAACACCACCCTAAAATGCATTATTGGAAGACCCAGGTGTATAAGGAAAACGTCTATCCATACTTTTAGTCAGCTTGCTGGTATCTAGGTGGACTTCAATGATTTGGATTCTTGCACTTCACTTGGTGGAATTAATATTAGAATGTTAGGGTTTGTGATCCAAGTGAGTATATATACATTTTAAGACCTAACCAGGAACGACTGCGAAAAATGCAGCACAAGGTCCTCTGGTAGGAATTGAACCTACGGCCCTGAGATTCCGGTGCAGCGCTCTAACCAACTGAGCTACAGAGGCCAGCTGTTGAGCTGAAACCGTAAGTTCGTGTAAATATATGTAATCGGGTGTGCGGGTTGTGATAAGGTGGACTTCAATGATTTGGATTCTTGCACTTCACAATGTCCATCGTTTTCGATCTAAAGAAGAGCAAGAAATATATTGAATGTTGATGGTTGCAAGGAAGATTAATTAATCACGCGGAAATAAACTGAGATTTCCTCCCACATATAAAATGACAACTTTCTCTGCTATTTAATTCCAAAATTAAACTGAAAGTTCGTTTCAGAGAACGCAGAAAGTCTGTCATGGGTAGAGGGGGGCAGGGGGTCTCGTCACGAAATCACAAAGATCATTTTTCGATTTCACGAGTCACGAAAAACAAAATTTCATTTTCACGATTTTTAGAAACACAGAAGCGTAACAAAGTCTGAAACCATTTAACACATACTGACTTTAACATTAGAGCTGTTTAAAAGACAATGGAAATCATTGCGAGGCATTACAAGCATCGTACGATGGTTCACGAAGTTTACGAAGAGGTACGAAGGTATACGATAACGACGTTTACCGATGAAACGAAGAAACTTCAAGAAAGACAACCGCGGGAAGAAAATTTATAAATTTTTACCCATAATATTACATTTGGGCCGAGTTTTAAACGTAAACATTCACAAGTTAGGGTAAAATATTCGTAAATTCAAGACCATAGCTAGCCTTTTAGCTCTTCACGATTCACGGCACGCATATTAATCACGATTCACGGAATGATATTTCTTTGAATCACGAATCACGAACCACAAATAATTGCTAATCACGAGTCACGAAAATACCCTTGCCCCCCTCTGGGTATTCACGAAGTTCTAAACATTTACTTTCAGAGAAACTTTGCAAACATCACAGTTATTCTGTGTTGCATTCCTTAATAAATGGAAAACATCGAGCCGCACAGAATTCGCTGGAAATCACAAAATTTGTGCATCTGCTGTCATTACCTTGTCGGTTCTTACGGAACCTCATTTCATTAGATATTTGTGAACTTTGCTTTGTTTGTGTTGCCTTGCATACAGACGTTCTATAAAATGAAACATTGAATTATTTATACTTCAGTACAACTTTCACAGTAATTTCCCGTTCCAATATTAAACTGAATAAATAACTGTAATTTAACATGAAACAAAACATTGTCACTAGTTCATATATAAACAAATACCTAACCAGAATTTATACGAATTAAAAACAATTAAGAAGGTGATTTTTTATCTAAATTCGCTGTCACGAACTGACGGAGAAAGCTGTAATTGTTTTTGTTGCATGCCCATATATGGCATGCAACTTTCATATACACACGTAAAAGTCTGCAAACAAGCTGTTACAAGTCTGTTCACAAGCTGTCAACAAGTTGTGTTCGCACTGCTTGTTCCCAGTTTGTTGTAACAAGTTTGAAACAAGCTGTTAACAACTTGTAACAAGCTTGATGGCATTATCAGCCTTGTTACAAGACTGTGCTAACAAGTTTGTTACAGCCATGATATAACAAGGATGTTACAAAGTTGTCAACACAAGGTTGTAACAATCTTGTTATAGCAAGCATGTAACGGATTTGTCAGAACAACCTTGCAACAAGTCTGATGATATCAACAAGGTTGTTACAAATTGTAAACAGCTTGTTCCAAACTTGTTGACAACTTGTGACAAGCAGTGCGAAGACAACTTGTTGACGGCTTGTTGACAAACTTGTTACAAGATGTGAGATTTTTACGTGTGTAGCTCCAAATTTTCTGTCGTAGTGTAGCGGCGGTGGTAAATCACGTGACAGATAATACGTTAAATACGACAAATACCGTGTTTCTCCGACGAGCATTTTCATGTGATGTGAATTACAGTGCTCTCACGAATTGTCCTTAAAAATAGGAATTTTGAAGACTTTTAAGGATTTTTTAAGCATTTTTTTAATTAAATGTTTTCAGTTTTTAGCAAAATTTTGTGGTTTTTAGTGCTTAGAAACAAGGTTTTAAGGAATTTTAAGGAAATCTGAGGAATTTTCGAGCTTTTTCTAAGGAATTCGAAAATTTGATTGTGAGAGCACTGGTGAAGCACCTTTCGTCGAGGAAATGCAAAGAAATATTGATTGTTTGCCGAAAAATTACGTAATTTAGCGCCTTACAAAAATAGAGCAGTCGAGGCTTTGCTGCTTTTAATTTACCTTATATATATATTCTGTTATTTGTTGTTATTTTGGAGCTGTTGTGCTCGCACTGATTATTTATTAATTCAATTATCAGGCATTATTTTAATATATATCGTAAAAGGCAAGGCTATCAAAATACCCATTTCTTATATGCTCAAATTGAAACGAAGCCATTGTGCTCGTACTGATTATATTGTGTCCAAAACTTCAAAACTACAGTTCATTTTGCAACCAACGTGAAATATATTAAAAATATCAAACAAAATTCTCATTTTAATACCCTTGAAATTTAATAAATAGCATTCTACTTCGATAATTTCAATCATAGACATATTCTCACTGGGCATTTTCTCTCACAATACCATCTACTTTGAATATTTATGCATGAGATGATCAGTTAGTCATCTATATACACCACGTGATTCTCAGACAGTATAAAAGTAACACAGAATCGGTATCTTTTGAGCATTTGCGGATTTGCAACCGAAAAGGAAGGACGGCGCTGAATTTTTTTGGTCATCCAAGTCACACGTGTCGCAGCCGAGCCCGGCCTTGGGAATTTAGCGAAATGCCTTGCTTATACAGAAGCACGATAACGTTACGCTCACCATACAATTTGACTTATCATGGTATGTCGAGCATGATGTGAATTAATCGTCCTCCTTAACCGGCTGTACTTGGAATCAGGTATCAGTATGTTGTCTACCGAATTTAAGTGGGTCTTCCCCCGCGAGTTTCGAGCCTATTAAGTTTTCTTTGGTATCACGTACAATTTGTTACAACGGCATTTATATTACACATCGCCTTGCGACCACCGCAAATTTTGCAAGCAGATAAGGGACTGCTCATTATTTATTGTACAGGGGGAGACTGAGGAGAAAATCTACAGTTATAATATTTTTTCGTTGGCCCCCTCTTAAGTCAAGTAAAATTTTCAAAGCCACCCCCTCCCCAACAGCCAAAACAAGAACATAACTTTTGTCCCCCCTAGCTCTTTATCTTTATTTAGAGAAACAAAAACTCTAGCTCTTTATTTATAGAAACAAAAATAGATAATGGGAACCAATAGACAATTCCAGTGGCGTGCTGGGTACTATTTTTCTGGAGGGGCCAGTGGGCTGTCAACCAATATGCGCCCCTATAATGTTACACTTGATAAACCAGGGCCGAAGGCACGAGCCGAGTGCCGCAGGTGCGAGGTTTGTCTAGGGGGGTCCGGGGGTATGCCCCCAGGAAAATTTTTGAATTTAGAGTCTCTGAAATGCCATTTCCTGGACTTTGGGGGAAGATTTGACAGAAATCTGATGGTCAGGAAACGGCATTATAACGTGTCGAAATTGCAATTTGGTTAGAATTTAGTAGTAGTACTTAAATTATGCAATGCCAGCTACTTCCAGCGATTAATTTAATCCCAATTCTGTTCTCTACTGATCTGCTGTTCTGAGCACATTTACAACTTAAAGCTCTTTTATACAATAACACACGCACCCCACGCATATGCATTTTAATGTTTCTTTGCCTGGCTGCCCAAAGGGCATGTTTCAGCATTATTTCATTACTTACATTACTCATGCTTCTTGTGCAAACAACTAAATTTTGTACACAACTTTACATCAGTTATCATAACTTCAACTATCTAATTTGCGCCGCCCTCGTGATTCGTGAAGCATAATAAAGGGCATATTATAAGGGCATAATACCAGCAAAAAAGGGCATAATTTCCGTGATCGCTTCGATCGAAACCTGACCAATATTCCGGGAATGAGACATTGCCTGTGATCACTGATCATGTTTTTATATAATATGAACGATTTCGTATGAGCTGTGAGGTAGCAAATACGGTTAGGCAAAATAGTCTGTAATTTAATATATGTCGCCTATGCGCTTAGTCTATTTTATAATTGGCGGCGAAGTAACCATAATATGTTTTCTTGGCGGAAGTAACCATATTTTTTCGAGAATATGTTTTTTCCCACCCACTTTCAAAATTCGGCGCCCCATTTTCATTTTTGCGCCCCCCCCCCAAGAATTGCCAGCAGGGGGGGCCGTGGCTGCCAGCACGCCACTGGACAATTCCCATTTTAGATTAATTTTCTATCTTAGCGAAAAAAGTATATTCCCGGAAAGGGCATACTAAGATAAGTAATGCTTGGTTGCGAAATGTTGTAGAATGTAGAAAATATAGCCTTCCAAAGTTTGCAAATTTTGTATACTTTTGTATTGCAATTTTCGCATGCAATACAAAAGTATACAAAATTTGCAAACTTTGCAAGGCTATATATTTCCGTATTTTACAATATTTTGCAACCAAACTTTGCAAATATTTACTCTTTCTAGCTGTGGTGATTTATTTGCATCAAGGCCGGATTTTCAGGGGAGGTGTAGAGGAAGTCTTGCGACCACATTAGCATTAATGTGTGCTTCGCTGTCGCCATTGTTATAAATAAATTGTCTCACGTATCAGATCGTGTGTGCAATTCTTGTTGGCGGCGGAAAGTACGAAATTTATTTCAGTTATTTCATTTGGTAAAGAACTCTACAAAAGAAGAAAGCGTTCAGAGTCCAGATCGTTTCGTTTCGAACGGCAATTACCGTCTCCTGTTTCGCTCTCTAAGCGAAGCCTTGCAAATCGCAGTGTTTCGAATAGGCTTACATGCAACTGCCTCTAAATCTTCACCACGAAAAGCGCTGTTTCCTTCTGTGCAAGAACAGAGTCAACATCAACCAAAAGATAATTTTCTTGAGGAACATATAACGTATCAAGTCTGTTTGAAATTAATGAATCTCAAGTAAAGGTTACTATAGTTTACCCCAGTCGTAATGTTGCTATTCCAACACTTCACGACAAGCAATCCCCATTGGCATAACGGCAAAAATATCTCTTCCTTCAAGTAAACAATAAACAGTCTGTTCTTGTTCCATTTTTAATCGAAAAAAGTGATCAATTTTCGAATTTTAAGCTTATCGAGAGCCTTTGTGATGAATCACTGATCTAATTATATAATCCAACAGCAAACAGCCAATCAGAATGCCGCGTTCGTGGGCGAACGCGGAAAGTACAAAACACCGGGCCTTGCTTGCAGGCCCACTATTCTTCCCTTGGGCCTGCACGTGGGCTACCAGACAGTATAAAAGTAGCACAGAATCGGTATCTTTTGAGCATTTGCGGATTTGCCACCGAAAAGGAAGGACGGCGCTGAATTTTTTTGGGAAACACCCAGCTCCCCTCGGCTGCGACACTTCCGGACCTAGCTTCGCCGCACTCTACCTTTCACTGAAAATTATTTATCTCCAATCTGAATTCCCTCAATCAAAGGTATTGTGCGGGGAAAGCGAGCAGTGGGAATATATTACTAGTCGAGATCATAGTTTAATTATTTTCAATCTGTTATAGTAATTCACCGTTTCCACGGGTTTTTATACATTCAAAAAGCCACAATAAAGCTAAATTTGTAGGAAATAACATTATTTACTTCAAATACTCAATCAGTGATAAAACCTTGGCCAACATGTTATTATAGCTATTTTTCAATAAATATATTGATATTAAACTTATTGCAATATTTTAAGTTTCAAGCCAGTTGTACCAAGATTTATAAGCGCTTGCGTACCATAAAGGCGGATTCCCATTCAGTGCAAAATGTCGCGCGATCAACATTTTGCGATCACTTTTGAAATAATAATAGTAGCTTTATTCATCCATCTTAAGATAAAAAAGTACAATGGACTTACAATTACTTGTTTAAGAAAGTATATATGCTGTGGATATGTCTTTATATTACAAATTGTTGTAAGATAATTTACTGAAAACTAACTAAGAAGTTAAAACTAACAAGTTCTTTAATCTAATAAGTTCTTCTAATAAGTTAAAACTATTTATACATATTTACAAGCTCTTCCTGAAAAAGAATGTTTATGCCTTTCAGTTCCTGAGAAGAATGATATATTGCGATTCCGGTCAATGTTCCTTAAATTGCACTGATTGTTAAATAATTTTGGCAAAACACTGCGACAGGGATGGTTTGGATCGTTCATAAACCTATCAACTTCTCGACTAGTTGCCTCTTCCCTTCTTTCGTTCAACGGTGGTAGGTAATCTTTTTCCAGGCCAAGGATTCTTAAGCTCCTGGATTGAACCCGCTCTATTTCATCTCGCAGGTAATTAGGGACTCCCGCCCAGACAGGTGATGCATACTCGAGAATTGGTCTTATTTTGGATTGATAGGTAATAATACCGACTTCAGCTGGTAACTGCGATTTCCTGCATTCTCTAAGATGGTAAAGGCGTTTATTTGCTTTACGTGTAATATTTTCAACATGTGCGTTCCATTTTAGATTATTTTGGAACGACACGCCAAGTAATTTAAAAGCGTTGACCCTTTCTATTAACTCATTTCCAATACGAAGACGTGGTGGTTCAGGTATAGCATCCGTGAAAGAGATCCACATGTCCTTAGTTTTTTTAGCATTAATTGCCATTTTATTTAACACCGCCCAGTTATTTACTTCATTGTTGTAAATTACTATTAGAATCTACGCTCACTATTTGGTGTTGTGTGCAGTCATCTGCATACTTATTCGTACTGACTTTTAGTTGTTCTGGTAAGGCGTCCTCCAAATCATCGATCAATGTAGGTATTAAAAAGAATGGGGGATATTACAGAGTCTTTCGGGACTCCGGCCGGGCATGTTGCAATGGATGATAAGGTACCATTGAGATTTACTTGTTGAACTCTTCCGGAAAGGAAACTTTTAATCCATAACCAGAAGGGTTTGGACCGATAGTAGGTGGCTTTATCTTTAGCTATAAGATTTACCACTTTCTCGCATAGTTGTTTGTATCTTGGCTGATCACCACGAAAAAAGGCTTTCTGACGAGCTTTGATTTGCATTTTAATATTACCAGTGATCCACGGTTTATCAGAGTGATGTACTCTGCTGGTTTTTTTCAGGTAAGAACTCGTCAAGATCTTGATTATAATGGATACTTTCTCATCCACATCCAGTGCTGAATATACAGTAGTCCAATCTTCAGAAGCCATATTCAGGGAGAGGTCATTTAAATTTGCTCGTTTCATCAATCTAATTTTTTTTTACGTAACCGGAGTTTTCTGTCTTTTAATGGGCTTGATTAGAAGACATTGGTGGTCGGAGCGTCCGATTAAGGGGAGATGGCTAACAGTGTCAAAGAGAGGGAGCATATTTGTAAGGATTTGATCAAGAATGTTGTGTTCTCTAGTCGGTTTATTTACAGATCTTTTTAAATGAAATATGTTACATAGTTCTCTAATTTTAGTTGATTGAAGTCCCCAGCTATAACAATTCCAGATGAAGGACGTTCGCGCAAGAGATTATCTATACAAGTAGTTAAGTATTCATTCATATCGATTGCTTGTTCGGCGGATTGACCAGGAGGGTAGTACACAACAGCAGCAACAATTGTACTGTACGGTCTAGGGGTTCTGGGGGGGTTTTAACAACAACCATATCACTTCTTTGTTTTCTTCTTCGAGGTAAGTCATACGCTCTGCTGGTAAACAATTATTCACGTAGGCGATCACTCCACCGCCAGGAGACTTTCTATCGCGACGAAATATGTTGTATTTATTACCGATCTTAACCGAGGAATCACCGATATCATCACTTAGCCAAGATTCAGTTATCATTACCACGGATGGGTCATAGATCGATACAACAGCAGTTAATTCGTCCACCTTATTTGTTATATGGCATACATTGGACAAGAGGAAGGAATCAAACGCAACGACGGATGAGGTTGACTAAACGCATTTCAAAAGAAAGTGATCGCAAAAAGTTGATCTCGCGACATTTTGCACTGAATGGAAATCAGCCTTAAGGTTTCAGATGGCATGCAACATGTACGCACTGCGTACCTATTTTTTTAATAACTCGACAGGCTAGGCAGACTAGAAGAAGCCGGCGCGGGGAGCGACAGGAAGATGGAAACCTTCTTCACGAATATTTTACCCTGCCCGCCCTGCTTTATACCATGCACGACTAGCTTTATACCACGACTAGCTTTATACCACGAGTTTATGCAGAGGAAATTGTGATGGCACTGAGACTATCGCCCGTATTCTAAAAGCTCACTCACACTCAACGAGTGGAGGTTCAATATGAGCTTCTCTTGAGTGTCAATGCTGTTTTTGAATAGCTGGAGGGTGAGTAGTCACGTAGTAATGTATGACACTGGCCCTCTAGCTATTCAAAAACAGCAATGGGACTCGAGAGAAGCTCATATTGAACCTCCACTCATTTAGTGTAAGTGTGAGTGAGCTTTTAGAATACGGGCGTATGATGCGATACGTTGTACAATTCTCGTGGGTTATCCTGATTCAGTTCAGTTATCACTATTATGTATTATATAGTGAACTTAAGCAAGTAACATTTTTCTCAACACGGACGTCACCCCGAAATTAGTATAACTAATATTGGCGGCATTTTGCATCATAGTGCTTGTGTAAGGAAGCAAAAAATCTATAAAAAACTTATGTTTTGTCAATATGTGTTGAAGATTACCACAAACTGACACAAACGTAGTTTTTAATTCAGTCCATAAAAAACGTCGCTTGCTAAAGCTATCCAGTGCTTACCTCACGAGAACTTGGTCTGTCTGTGAATTACAGACGGCTGTGCTTTCTTCATTAAAGAGAATTTTACGTGGAAACAGGACGATATAAACTTTGGGTGCGAAGAAACAAAATAAAATGACCATGGCTAATAGCACAACACGGTAGGATTGTATAGCCTGTTGAAGGATCTCATTTGAACTTCCAGTTGCAGCAACCACGAACACAACGAAAAATGCAACGATCATCACACATAATGCGTACATTGCAAATGCAATGCATTTGGCTTCGTTAAATTTACTAGGTGTATTCCTTACTCTAAAACCATAGTAAGTACAAATTATTATCAGGATTGAGTTATACATGTGTGCAAAAAGGATCTGGGTCTGCGTTGTGCTGCAAACAAGATGCACTTCTGTCGATGAGAAATAAACAATTTTCTCCTTGGGAAACTGCATGATAACCAATGCAAGCAGGAGGACAATTTGGATGCTGATCAACAGGATGGATAAAATTATTTGAGGTAGTGGACGCGTGAATGAAGGTCGATTTGTGATTCTGCGTGTTGGGTCAAAAATACGAACGACGCGGTTAGTTTTCATCGCAATTGGAACAAGAGATATTGTGAGGGGAAGACTGTCAAGAATAAATTGCGTCTGACATTTGAAGCGTGATGGCCTACAGATACAAACAATAGGGAAAAGGAATGATAGCAACAGTCCAGTTAGTAATAAATAGCACAATTCACGACCAGATGCTTTTACCAATGGATTATCATTAAACTTGATGAATATATACAGAGTGAAAAGAAGACAAACCATTCCCAGTACAGATAGTACTAGAGGCGGAATAACCAGAAACTTTGAGATTCTTTTGTCCAAACTGTAGAAAATTTCATGAATTTTGATACATCTTGTTTGTTTGTTTGCCAAATATCCCTGCCCACATGGATAACAAGTTGTTTCGTTAATAGCAATGGAACCAGCCGGACATTCCACGCATGTCCAACAACAAACTGGTTTATCATGGATGCGTTGTTTAATTTTGTTGTCTTTACACGGCTCAGAACATTGTGCTTTAACAGAGATTGACTTCAAGACAGAAATTGAACTGGCATTCATTTTCAGCCGACCTAGCCAACTACCAATATTAATATTCTGCCATGTACCAATCTTGTTTCCTGGTATGACGTAATGAAATGTATATCCTCCTTTCACCTCACCTTCACTATTTATATCAACTCTCCGGCCATCAACGCTTGGAAAACTCGAATTACGGATAGTGTCGAGTAATAATGAGCCAGATATTTTGGTGGTTTGCTCACAGTTGGACAGACTTGGGCATGTAGCTTTCAGTACTTGGTGAAGACCACGCGCAAAAACGTATACAGCATCTATAACTCTATCACTGACGTAGAACGAGTAACCTGGCAATAACGAAGTTCCAAATGTCTGACTTGAATTGCATCTTTGCACGTTCTTGATACCATTTTTGAAAGTACAATTCATGATTTGCTCATAGGAAAGCTTAATCAACGCCGCCATGTTCGAATTTATATTTTCGACTCTTAAATTTTCCAGGTAGTTTTGGTAGTCTGGTATGTTGTTACTTATCAGCCGGGTATACACAAATCCTGTTTTTATCTGAGCAATGTTATCTAAAAGCCAAGAGTTGCCCATAGCCTCTGAGCCAAATAAGTGGATTTGATCAAAGTTTTTTATTATACCCGCCATTATGTTTAGCATGGGCATGATTGCTGCACCAATGCAAAACAATGTGATGACGTCAGTTCTATTAAGATTTGCCAGTTGACCAATTTTTTCACGGTACGTAGCTTCGTTATAAATCACTGGTAGTTGTATTTCAGTGGCAAAACATATCCCTGAATGAAAAAAAGTATCTTTGAGAAGAGTAATCAGTAAATTTAGTCATTTCAAATGCGCTGTTTTCGAAAATTGGTCTTTTCGGGGCCTTCTACCTCCTTTTCATGTCTAAAGCCTCATTTTGGCGTATATATATATATATATATATTTTAGCATTTTTCGTCATATATATATATATATATATATATATATATATATATATATATATATATATATATATATATATATATATATATATATATATATATATATATATACATACCAAATGAGGAGACTATGGAAAAAACGGAGTATTTTAATGAAATTCAAAAAAAGGGTAATTCCGAAAATGAACATTTTAATATTGTCTAGCTTTCGACTAAGTCATTTTATACTGTAAATACATCAGGATGATGCACATTTTTTAAAACAATGTTTTTGTGTTAATACAACCAGACAATATTACAATTAATGGGAAATTAGGTTTGACAGTTACTTGTTTGTTGTTTGTCGGTTTGCGACTGTATATAGTTACGAAACAGTCTTCTGATCATTGTGTGATCATGCACACACAATGTCAATGGTAATTACATTAGAGAGTTTAAGATTTACGAATGAAAATGCAAACAAAAGCACCAAATTTTAAATTTGGTTGCAAGTCTTGCAGGACTGGGTTTTAGCGAGTGAATATGATGTTGACATTGAGAAGTATCTAATTTTGTCATGCTAATAAGGAACAATGTTGCTCGTACAATTAGGGATTAATAGTACTCGCCCCGGCGGCTCGTCCAATTTTGGCAACATTTCCAAACATCACAGCTCGTACTATCCCTAATTGTACTCGCCATCGCATGATTACCTATACTTATTAGTTTATTTAAACTCACCGCGTTTTTTGGCTTCACTTTTCAACAGTTTGATCCCGTGTACACCATAGGAATCATCGGTGTAGACTGCGGACACATATGTCCAGTTAAAATATTGAAGCAATTCAACCATCGCTTGAGCTTGAGATAGGTCTGATGGTATAGTGCGAGAAAAATATGGATAATGCGTTTTATCATTCAATTCATAACTTGACGCACTATAGCTGATGATTGGAATTTCAAATACCCCTAAAACCTGTAAAACAATAATGAATTTTTATTAAAAAAACGAAAATCTCCAAGTTAAACCGTACTAATTTGAAGTAGATTGAAGTGCGATATGGTACTATAATATGAAGATACAATAGTTTTAAATGATTTTTAATTGATAATTTCACAACCATGCATGATGCATCAATGTATGTTTTTTTATACAGAAGAGTCCAAAAAAATGCACCTCCATTATTCTTTAGTGCCGCGCGTAAGATTTCAATACGTTTTTAATTGTTTTCTAAGGGGAACAATTATATCATCTTTATTCATCGAAATTTAATTGGTGAAGTTGTTCAGAGTCATTTAAAGTCGCGATACCAACATCACAACTTGTCGAAATACCAGTGCCTAAATAAACTAAGTATAAAAAGTTGTGGAACACTTTGGACTTCAGACTTCGGACTTCCGACTTCGAACTTCAGACTTCGGACTTCATGCAGACTTCAAACATTGAGTCCAAGCTTCGCTAATAGCCAATATAATTGCTTTGCGAAGCTGGCTAGTATTTCGGGCACTTATTCAATCAAAGCTATTCAAACTAAAGTAGAAAATGGTAAGAACGATTTAGATTGTAAATGCAGACTGTTGGAATATGATGTTATATATTTACATTGCATATTCGATTGACATAAAAAATGTAAGCCGAATAAACTATATCATGTCTCGTTTTTTTATAGAAATAAAAAATACTCCTGTTATCATTCTTGGTGATTTTAATGTTAACCCTTTTGAAAATTCATCCGACAAAAATACACTTTGCAAATAATAATTTAATCGAAGAAACGCAATACGTGCAGCTCATTAGCCAAGTGACAACTGACTGTAAAACACAAGTTGATCACATATGCACTAATATCCCAGAAAGAGTAAAAAGTAGTGGTGTTTTAGAATCGTACTTTAGCGACCATAAGCCTATTTTCGCGTCACTTATTTGATATTTTAATACTTTTTAATTTAGTTATTAATAAAGAGTTCAAGAAGTTATAATTTAATATACTGTATATATAGAATGTATATATAAGACTCAGTGCTGACTAGATCTCTAGAGCACCACTGGATTGCCCCTGGATTTCCGAGGGGTTGCCCCTCGATTTCCGCCGAGGGGTCAATGTCGCTACTTACTATAGCGGCAGAAGAAATCTTGCTGACAGCAGTCTCGCTGTGACTCCAAAGCTTTAAGAAGGTGAGTTTTAATGAATTTTATATCTTTTTAACATAAAATATGTGTATAGCTACAGTATTCTTGTGCTCATTTAATTTTCTTTTCATCGTTATTTTAGTGAGATCATTAGATTCATTACCATATTGAATGAAGACTTGCATTTCAAAATTTAATGCACGGGCTCCTAGAGGTAAACAACTAAAAATTAATGGAAACATTGTGAATGTTACTGCAGATGTTGCTAATACAGTTAGCATATTCCCACGGTTACCAAATGAAACCAGCACCATTAAAGTGAACCTTATTACAAAGGTTCAGCATTGTCGTTCAATGTAAGACCAAAAAAAGTAGCATGCAGCAGCCACAAAATGGCTGGCAAATTAGTGCCTTTTTTAAATATATATCTGGGGAGGGGCAATTGCCCCCCAGAGAAAGAATCCCCCCCCCACCCAGTAAAGCCATTTCTTCCCCCGAAGTGCGAAGCAGAATTTCTCATGATTGCTGTCAGAATTGCAGTTGATTTACTTGATAATGGGATTATGCCCTTCTGTAGCCTCCTCCACAGCCATTTTGTGTGTAATTCATATTGTTCTTCACCGAGTATTTCATAATAGCGATAGATTTCATGCAAACAATCCGATAAAATGCTAGCTTTCCAAGCCTTGCGACTATTTCCTAGCACTCTCCTCCGCACAGGCGTTGTGTTTTGTTTTGGGAGGTTTTATTGCAAATCTTTTTTCTTAAAAGTATAAAGTTATATTAAGAGCCCCCCCCCCCAAAAAAACCCATTCTCTCAGAAAGGCTAAATCCGTAGAGAAATTGGGGAGGGGGTACACGTTACATGCTCGATGCTGAAACTGATTAAGTACGTCTCGACTGAGGAAAAAGACGATATACTGGAGGAACTTGATTTGTGAAATCTCGTTAAAGTTAAAACAGTTGTAGATATGGTTCCAAGAAGAATAAATTTAGTTTAGATTTTTAACTGTTAAATACATGTATGCATCATCATAGCATGAATATTTCTTCTCAGATTTATTCTGTATCGTATGAAAAAGCAACGCAATTTTGAGAATGCGGAAATGGTGTCTCATAGAACCTAAAATGATTTAAATGCAACATATCTGATCAAAATCACATTGGGATGCCCCCCCCCGGCCGGATCACAGAGAGGAAATAAGGTGACACTGACCCCTCCTCCTATTTTCAAGGTGACTTTTCCAATTTATTTAATTCCGAGTAGAAATGTCTGGAAAAATTCATGTCTTCGATGTACTTTATAATCTTCGGAATTCTGCTAGATTTCACCCCCAAAATGCATGAAATCGCAATTCAGGGACCCTAGATTTCAAAATTTTCCGAACCCCGGACCATCCTAGACGGTCTCACGCCTTCGGCGTAAGGTTCGCCCCTGCAAAATTAAGGTTTGGCTACACCACTGGTTATAGCTGTACGATTATAGCTACAAAGAGTTGAAGTTATTGTTTAAGTAGGTAGCTGAGTTGTAAATTAAAAGTTTTCCTTCAGACTCGCGCCAGTCGCGCGTTCGCCAAACCTCGACGGCTCACATTTTTTCGTTTCTGCCGCTTTTTCCTGTTTTGCCCCCCCCCCCCGTGAAAATTCCTTAAAAAAGGCACTGTAATGCAAATAATGGCAATCTTTATAAAGAGGAAGGTATAAGTTTCAATGACACTTGGTTTGAGGGCAATTCAATTTTTTGGGTGGTGATAATGATGAAATTTCAGAGGTTTCATCAAACAAAGCAGACAGTAACACCTCTAGAGAGCATGGATTGTGATACATATTGCAATAAAACTCAGCAAATATCTGATGATAAAGAACCCTGGAGTGAATATGAGGTAGAAATACCTGGTGGAGTCACTGACACTATGTTAACAGCTCCAGATTTTGTGTCTGACAATGAACGTCACTACGTCAGTATATTTTAACTGTTGCACCTGGTGAGGGCAATACACATATAAGTACTGTATATTTATTTATTTATTTAAACATATTTTTGGAAAATTGAGTTTGAATTTAGAGACAAATATTCAGAAGAATTAGCATATCCCGGGGTGTTTCTTGGTCAGAACCGACCTGACAACACGAATAGACTAACTGATGTTCATTATAGTGAAATTTGCAAATCCTAATTAAGGTGGTCTAACCAAAGGGCCGCAATGTGTGTAGAAAATATTTTCTTTGAAACTAAGAAATTGCAAATGAAAATATTACTTGGGCAATCTCAAGTTGCATTAAGAAAATGTCGAGGAAATGGTAGTACAATTACTGCTGGTCAACTAAATCAACCAGGAGCAATCAATAACATAATTCACCATGATCAAGGATTTAAATTTCTTAGAGCTGTGAGGAAGTCACCTCCATATTTTGAAAAAGCAAAAAACCCATATTTTTGCAATTATAAGGTTCTTAGGACCGGCTTCATTATTCTATAGTTTCTCTTCTGCTGAAACACAATGGATTCATCTGCTCAAAATTCTTGGTAAGCTTGTAGATAATAAAGAATATACTGCTAATGAACTTGAAAACCTCAATTGGGGAAATAAAACCTGGCTACTTCAGAGTGATCCAATGACTTATGCTAGACACTTTGATTATCAAATAAGCCAGCTTATAAAAAGCATTCTTTTAAGTAAAACAGTACCTCTGGGGAAAGTTGCAGACTGGTTCTACAGGGTTGAATATCAGCAAAGAGGTTCACCTTACATTCATATGTTGATATGGCTAGAAAATTATCTTACTTTCGGTGAAGATTTTGATTGTGATCTTGTTTCATTCATCGATAAGATAATCACATGTGAAAAGCCAACTGACAATCCTGATTTGCTTGCACTTGTAAACAGGCAAATTCATCGTCATTCTCACACATGTCGAAAGAAATCGAAAAGTGAATGTCGATCGTTTCAATTACCCGAAACCACCTATGAGCTCGACAAAAATTCTGTATCCATTGGATAAACGGATAATGATGTTGATAATAATTAACTTGACCAACATAAGGAAAGAAGAGAAACATCTGAATGATATGAAAGAGGGTGAGGACATTACATTTGGCCAGTTGCTGGTAAATCTTGAACTAACAGAACAAACCTATTTGCTAGCTGTTCGATCCAGTCTCAAGGCACCCACTATATTCTTAAAAATAAAATAAAACCGAATGTGTTCAGGGTCAATAATTATAACGCTGCATGTCTCAGTGCATGGCGTGCAAATATGGACATTCAATTTGTAATAGATACCGTATATGCATGTGCATGTGCATGTGCAATGTACATTGTACATTGTACATTGTACATTGTATCATACATATCCAAAGCTCAAAAAAGCGCATGAGTGACTTATTGAGAACAGCTTGTGAGGAAGCAAGAAGAGGAAACTCTAGTATGACATTGGAAACAAGTTTTTAAACAATGTTGAAATAAGCGCGCAAGAAGCAGTGCACATAGTATTGCAACTTCCAATGAGGAAATCATCTCGTCAAGTAGTATTTATAAATACTTCACCCCCTGAAGATGGAGTTAAATTACTAAAACCATTGCAAGAAATTAATGATATGGAAGATGGTTCTGATAAGGTTTATGCGCCTGGTTTAGTTGTCCGTTGCACAAAACGACTAGCCAAATTTGAAAACCTATCTCTTGCTGATTGGACTGCATGGTATGATTCTACCGGAAAGCGATATGTCAAACCATCTCGTAAACTAGATATTGATATCTGTCTTGAGACAATGAGGAAAATGATTGTGAACAAAAAATAAAAGAAGGTCTAAAGCCATGGTTATACGAAGTGTTTGTTTTAACAAAGAGGTTGATTCTGAGAAACATTACTGTGAACTAAGCATACTGTTCACATCATGGAGGAATGAAAAAACTGACCTTTTTGGAAACTATTTGTCTTACCAAGAGCACTATTTCCAAGTTAAAGATATATAATAGAGAAGCAAATGGAATTTTATGCTATGTGTAGTGAAATTCAGAATCAACTTAATAATGTGGAAGTTAATGATGAAAACTATGACCTGATTTCCCCAGGAACACAAAACATTGAGCGTCAAGATTAAGATGAAGGTGCACAAGACCTTCATCCAAAATTCAATGAAATCTACGACCTATCTGGTGATCTTAGAATTCCATCAGCTGCATCTAGTACTGAGCAGCTGGTATTGTATGAAGAACAGGATGATGTTTACAGAGGAATGGTACAAAAATTAAAAAAAAGAACAAAAATAATTTTTCTACCATGTTTTACATCTTATTAAAACTTCTGACAATCCATTCTACTGTTTTCTTAGCAGAAGTTGGCAAGTCACATCTCGCTAAGTGTCTTTATCAAAAAGCAATAACGTATAGTATAATACTAGAGCAGGTGATGATTTCCATCAAGTGAAAATATTAATGCTTGCACAAACTGGTAAAGCAGCTTACAATATTAAAGGTAACACAGTAGATAGACAGTGTACTTTCATTATCTGCATGTCAATCTTTAAAGAATTTAAGAATCTAGACAATTCAGAATATGCAGTTCTTTCTCCTAATAAATGGTAAGATAACGTCAATATGTTTGACTTGATTGGAAGAAATTATGAGAAAAAGGGAGAGCAAAGTGTTTGCTGAAATACTAAACAGACTTTGGGAAGGAAGGCATACCAAGGATGATATTTTGAAACTAAAAGAAAGATTAATAAAAGAAAATAGCATCCAAGATCCCATGGATGTGCCTCACTAGTTCATAGAAAATCAGAAGGTAAATGAATTCAATGAAAGAGTGAATAGTGCAGCAACTGGTGAAACGTTTTCAATCAAAGCAATAGACAGTGTTATACGAGCTAACTCTGCTCAACTTCGAGATAAAATTTTGAGTCAAATACCTAGGAAAACTAAGCAAATTGCTTCAAACCTTCAATTGTCAGTTGGGGAAAGAACTGAGATAGCATTAAATATACGTACTGATGATGGCATGACTAATGGTGCTGGTAATGTTGTTAAAAAGATACAATCGAATCAAATAAATAAACCTTCCGGTATAATATGGGTCCAATTTGACCATTCAGATGTTGGAGAGAAAATCAGACATGAAAATAAACATCTTTATATCCAAGGTATTGAGTCCACATGGACTCCAATAAAGCCAGTCACAACTCAGTTTGCTGTGGGTAGAAACCAAGCTGCACAAGTTGTTAGAAAACAGTCTCCACTTAGACCCGCTGCGGCTAAGACAATTCACCGTTCACAAAGTGACACTGAACAATTAAATTGTAAATTTCAACACTAGAAGATCAGTACCTCATATATATTAAATTGGTTTGAGCAGGCTAACAGCAATTGAAGGTTTATTTATCACTGACATATGTGAAGATAAAATAGCTGTCAATCCTCATGGAACATTTGAGATTTATATATATATATATATATATATATATATATATATATATATATATATATATATATATATATATATATATATATAAATTAAGGTACAACAAATCAACAAAATCCACTAGGCTAGGCATCTTTATTACTAAATAGTTTCGTACCACAGTATGTGGCACTCTTCAGATAAATTGATATATATATATATATATATATATATATATATATATATATATATATATATATATATATATATATATATATATATATATATATATATATATATAGTTTTCGTTTTACCTCAAAAAACCACAACAGTCTGTTTCATCCGTATAGGAATCATCAGGTGGTGAATAATTTCGAAATTGTAGGTTGCTTTTATGCTATCGAAAGAATGTCGAAAGAATATATATAATATATATATATATATATATATATATATATATATATATATATATATATATATATATATATATATATATATATATATATATATATATATATATATATATATATACTATATATATATATATATATATATATATATATATATATATATATATATATATATATATATATACAGGGTGTATCAAAATAAACGCAATTCATCTTTTGCGCTTAATAACTTTTGAAATACTATTTCTAGTTAAACGCTTTTAGGCTTACTTCAAAGCCTGTTCTTTTCTCTTTCAAACAAACTATTATCCTTGTTTCCAATGCTAGTAATAATTGCACAAGAAAAGATTTAGTAAAACCTATCATTTTTAGTTGCTGTTTAATTATGCAAGTTTACTATGTTATTGTTTAGTCGGTTTAAATGTTAGAATTTTCTTCTTTAAACTTTAATGTTGTCGTCACTACATCTGGAAAACCACGTAAGAACAAATTTAAAGTATTTTAAAAGAGACAAGGTTGTTTAAAAATCCTAAACGAATGCTAAAAATCGTCAAAACATTCTGGTGTCTGAGCCAGAGTGTCATCGAATTGCGAATGATGTAATGTAAACGGAAATTATAGCAAGTTGATGTCAGTCAGCTTAGATGGTCCAAGCCAAAATTATATCGCATTTGAAGTTTCAAACTGAGTTAAAAATAGTGGAAGAAAAGCCGTAATTATACTTTTGTTACAATCCATTTAATAAAATGCAATATTTTTTTGTTTTAATGAAAAAATCAGTTATTTTCATGAGAACGATTTGTTATTCCATCTCAATTTTT